CCTCGTCATTGTTCAGTTCCACTTGCAGAGCCTCGCACCTGGGAAGGTGGGGTACTCACAGAGGAGATGCGCCTGCTGTGCCGGGCAGGAACTTGTCGCCATTCCCCCCACTATGTGCACTTTTATAATTACTTCATGGTTCATTTTTAAAATAGCATTAAGCATTTCAAATCAACCTGAATGCTTCACGTTAAGCTGATTACTATTACAGAAATTATGCATTTGTGAAAAACATTGTCCTGTGACACAGTGCCAAGCTCCTGAACCTAATCCATAAAGAAACATGGACAGCACAGACATGGAAGGTAAGTTCAGTGTACTTTTTCACCCACTGTAATTTTATAATTAGGAATAATTTTTAAATAAATTGAATCATCCTTCATTCTCTTCCAATGATAAATGCATTAAAATTACAAAGGTTGTCCATTGGTATCTAGTCTGCTTCATATTCCAGATCAGTACACTTAACTGTTTTAAAAACATGTCCTAAGTGAATTCTTTGAACACTCCAAACAGCAGTACTTTCATAGTTCTCCCACACACAGAAACACAGATGTAGCTAAGATCAATTTCAATCTAGTTGCTTTCCACAAATTCACTTTCCCCATCCATATACAAATTCTACTTCAAAAGTTATGATATACCATAAGTACAGACTATTTGTTCTTACAAAATTAATTATGCTTTTTGGCAAGATAGTAAAGAAAATCCTTCTAAAATATACTTAGTATGAAAATAGATCAACTTGGGTTTATAAACAAGCTTCCTGAAGATCTAGGAGAGAAAGTTGAAGTCTTCAGTAGGCTACAACTTAAAACTGCAGCAAAGCAGCTTGTTTTTCAAGGGGTTTTCCTTTTTCCTACTTATTCTAAGAAAACACATATTTGCATTTCTTCCTAGAGGCCATGCTCTCATCAATGTACTTAGACGTTTTAATAATTCAAAATACACTGATTTCCCTTTACACCCCCACACATCATCACTGGTTGATTAGCATTGAAATGAAAAAGCTAAAAAATATTAAAATGCTAAATAGATGCTTTAGCAGCCACAAGAACGCCAACATTTGTTTAAGTGAATTAATTCTCACTTTTCTTATCTCTCACAGTGCACTGGAGAAATGTGAAAGCAAACTATAAGCTTTAGAACGTAAATTGGGATAGAAATTGACACTCAAGGGCTAGCGGAAAGCACAATTTGAACATAATTTCATTTCACAGTAGGTACTAAGTACGTTAAGGAAATAAATCAAAAGAAATTCAGTTGTGAAAGATGTCTCTCAACTATCATTTGTTAAAAAAAACTCCTGATAAAATACACAAAATACACACTATGAACTGGACAGTAAAACCCAAAACGTTAACTTGGTAATACACTAAAACTACAGACTAGCAGTTAATAATCACTGAGCATAGACAGCAATGCTGTTAAATGAGAAAGAGGAACTCAGCTTTGCAGCCAATCACAGAACTAAGAGGAGATGCTATGTAAACCCGATTTTTAAAATTCATTAATTATATATTAGCAGATAAAGCCAGCTCTTATTGTAGCTAAAATAGCACATAACAAGGTCTGTTCTTCCCTCCTCCTTGCCCTTCGAACAACGCAACCTCACTACTGCCTCATTCTGTCCTCTAGACCTGCAATACTTAACATTTTCTTGAGAAAGTAGGACCTAGAAGAGTTAGAAAAAGGCGTTTACCTAGAGATGAATGCCTAAAATACTTTTGAGCATTTACTGTACTAGTCCCTCCAGATGATCACATTACGAACCGGTGTAACTTGTTAACTGATGCGCAAGACTGAATAAAAGACAGTAACTAATACTTGAATTCTAGATCACTCTATAGACAAAGACTCAAATTGTGGTGCTCTCCAACAGAGACATAATACACTTTCATTTAGATGATACATTTATTAAATTAGAATGAAAAAGTTAATGTACTTTAGAGTGCAAGAAACACATTTGGACACTGGACCTCAATACAGAGAAACAATGTCTTCAGAATTATTACAGCAAAAAACATCCTCTGTACTGTATTACATATCAACCAAACAAGCAATAACATTTGTAAGGGAAAAAACATTCAGTACCATCAGCAGATGCAAAGAGCAGTAGAGAAGAAAGTAGCAAGGATCTAGCTAGACAAAAGATGTTCCTACCTTTAGCAAGTTTAGGCTCTTGGCAGGACTCAAACTAGTACTAAGAGCACTAACTTTTAGCAGATGCCAGTCTTATACAGCTGGCTTTGGCTCCAAGCTGCTTGAAGCTGTCGAGCAGAAGAGCAGCATCAAACACAGTATTATCCCCTTAGCATTTTGTCAAAAGCTACAATCATAATGAGTGACAATTTATTTGGTTTAAATCAAGAAAGAGACTTTCAGCTCCAATACCTAAATTTCACAGACCCTAGAATAACTAAACACTCCCTGCCTTTTTTCATCTCTCCAATTCAAACCTGACAATGAGCAGTTTGACTGAGAGGATATGTATGCTGAAAAGCTGAATAGGCTTATGATCAGTGTTTTGTTCTTTTTAACAAGATAAAATAGCACATCTTGACATAAGAGTTTCAGCTATAATGCTTAATTAAATCAAGACAAAAAATCCCCAGAACAATATTTAAGTATAATGTAACATGCTGAAATCCATCTACTGGCCATACTGCTCCTACATATCCCATCTTCAACTCATACATCTACCCTGTTTTGCATAACATTTGCCTAGAACAAAACAAACAAAAAAAGTCTAAGAACAGGAGCCTCCTTCAGAGGCCCAGAGCCTTGTTTATGAATAAACCTGGCTAACCTAACATTCGCACTTACCCCTCCTGGTGGTTAGGATTGAAAGGTGTTTATTCTGTGCTTGAAATTGAGCTGTAAAAGGACGCAGTACAATTTACCAGCCATTAAGTTGAACCATGACCACTTGCTTTTATAAAAAGCTGTATTATGGATCCCGACATTTTAATATAAAAATTTAAATATATACATTTTCCCTGAATTGTTCCATCCCTAGCAATTCATGCTATCTGTGTAAAAAGGGACTCTTCCTGGAGATATCTAAGCATTAAATCCTTACCAAGATTTACCCTTTTGGGTGACGATGTCACAAATCACTGTGCTATAAAGACCAAATGCCTCTATACTTACTCAATCACAAAATTTACCATGATTGTAGGGAAGGGGCAAGACTAGTTTCTTGATGAACACGTTTTATTTTAGAAAATAAAAATGTGGTGACTCTACAACTAAAGCACACAGAAACTACAGCCTTGAATCTCATTATTGAAAAGCCAATTGGAGGACGTATAAAGACATTTATGCTTTCAATGGTAAATTTAAGATGGTAAGGGATTCATAACAAAACTTAAAGTCGTACATTATGAAAAGACAGCTTTAAAAGGTCAGAAAGTGGGATGATTTTTGGTACTGTATTTTAAAAGTTTCAGTATCACTTTTAATCATAAAAAAATAAATATTCATGCTCTACTGCCAGTGCTACCTAAAGGCTTCTTGAATGGGGAGGGGGGTGGTGGGGAGGATCAGCTTTTCAGCAGATAATAAAGAAAATACTGTAAGCGTGAGACATGAAACAAAGTGTGGGGAAGAAGAGAATATGGGTCCCTTTTCCCTATTCCAAACCTGGCTTTAATGTTCTCATGAATCACTCAAGAGCCTCGATATATCAAGTGTACATTCATTCCAACCCTTGAAAATATAAAGGTCTATGGCTATTGTAGAAGTATTTGAAATCAAACATTAAAAAGATAAAACAGCAACATTGCACATCACTGGAAAAATAAACTGGTGCATACTATTTAAAGTGCATTACTTTACCAGCTACAAAAACAGACACTGCAGAAATTTATCCAACAGGTTGAACTGGTGCATACTGTAAATTTCTGCAGCTCCAAGATGAACTGTTATCTGAAAAAATAACACTAACAATAAATACAAGCAACCTCCAACCTCCTCTGAGGATCAGACTATAACTCAGATATGTTAAATTTTCTCTCACAAAGAATTTATTTCCATCTGCATCAAATAATAATAAATTGACTACAGCAACTGTAGTCTAACAAGTCACTGAGCAACTCATAATGCCATTCAAAGATTCTGAAGCTACTTTTCGTGCTTCTTATTTCAGATTACAGGAAAAAATACAATAGTTTTTCCACAGATATAAAATTATAATTTTGCTGAAATATAGGTGTAAAGAAAGAAGCCTTATAACCAGATCATAGATTTCTGCTTTTTTAATGCAAGACAACACCTTAAATAATTGTTTACGGCTTCAGTAATTTTCCAGGTATAAAAAAAATCTTTCCTTCTGCACTTATCCTTTGAAATAGCCATGGGAATGCAGAAGTAGTAGAGTGCAATTAACTGTGGGAGTACATTAGGGCTCAGTCCTGTTCTCTGCTACAGCAATACATACTGTACAAGTTAAAAATTACCTGTTAGGATTTTACAGATACATAACAATACTATATGGGAGGGTAAAGCCCCAAATGCACGCCAGATAATATATTGCTTTGGTGCCCGATGACTAGATTGAATAGAAGATGCTCATTACAAATACCAACAGCACAACCTAAGAAATTTACCTTATTAAATTAAAAATCCTCAATCAGAAACAGTTGAATATATCACAGCAATAACTAAACACCACAGGACAAGGAAAGGGTCTTTCTTTTAATTTCTGGCAGAAATAGGCTGCTTGATGAAACCTAAATACTTTAACAAATCAGTTATGTTTAAAGAGCAAACCCTCCACAGAAAAAAAAAAATTCAATCTAACAAACAGTAGTAAATCCTGTACTGCATAGAGTTACTTTGTAAGAACAAGTTTATGAAAAGGGGGAGAGAAAGAAAAAAATAAGCAGCATTACTCCCCACCCCATCAGAATATAGCCACACAGGGCACAGCTGATAGTAAAGATGCTTCAATGCTATATTGCAGGACATAAGCTAAACTGAGTATGTACAGATTGAGAAAGAAAGTGAAAAAGATCCAAATGTCCAAGGAGAAGAGGGGTATATTCTTTCACACAGAATGCGCTAACAGAAAGCTGTTGGGAAACTCTTCCTCTAGCTAAATCCCTGGCTTGGCAAGTAAAAATAAGTGGCATCAAGGACGGGGACTATGCAGGAAGTAGGGATCTATGATTCTTCAGCCATCTGAAGCAAGGAGTTGATAGCTGCATCCTTGTTTCCCCTTTGAGCTTCTAGCACTGAGCGGATTACTTCCCTGTCCATGTTGGGAAACATGTCCTGGATAGATTTCAGGTCCTCTTCATTACACAGGTGCTGAGGGTTGACCGCAGGAGGTGGTATTGCCACTGGTACCATGCCTGGATTACAGACTGCAGGCATCCCTGCAGGCAAAAAACAGAAGAAGAAAAAACCAAAACATGCATGAGTGGGGGGGGAGGGAAATAAATGATTTTGAACAAAGCAGCCCATGACTCATCCCAACCCACTTCAGGATTTTTTTTTTTTTTTTAAACACATACTCCAGAAAAAAAGAAAAAGATTGCAGAGATTATACCTAGACTGCTGCAATCAGAATACATTTTTCTGAAACAGGTTCTCTGCCCAAGTTATTTTCCAGAAGTGGTAAACTACAGTATGGCAACGGGTACAGCTCAAAATTAGGTACAACTCGCATTAAGCAGGTTTACACATGAATCACTAACCAAACACTAAGGGCACCACAGAAAGGTGGGGGTGTTCCCCCCCAACTCCGCTCTAAACCCCAAAAGCAAGGCACCCATCATACTTTAGTTCCTAGTATATTTATGTTGTGATGAAAAAGATGGTTTTACATCAGCAAAATACATAACTGATACTTAGAAATTCAATTAATGCAATCTCCATTGCATTCAAAGGAAAGCAAAGTACTTAGGTCCACTAGGAGACTGGACCACACTCATAAGCAAACTCTAAGCAAATGTTTTTCCCTGGTTAAAGTTCCATCCAGTTCAGCCTGCAAAGTGACAAAAGTGGCAAAAGAGCAATTCCTCTTATGCCTATAGGGGTACACACTGCTTTTCCCCGTTCCTTGCCAGAGGACAAAATTAATCTGACATTTTTCATTAACTTCTTTTATGTCTGTGTAAAATTAAAGCACTGTCAGTTTATAAAGACAGTTTTAGAAAATGAGTTTCCTAATTCCTATTAAAAGGAATTACTAGACGAAAGTCCCTTTTCATCCTTAACATCTTTTATCATTAATTAAGCACAGATTCATTGCTGAAAAAAATCACCATTTGTTTCTATAGAAGTGCAACCAGAAATAGTATACATCTGGAGTCTTTTGTTACCACTTCTGAAAATGGCGTATTTCATTTCTTCTCTAAATAGTTCCAGACCTCCAATTATCTTAGTCCCACACCTTTGTGTGTTACTTTTCCGGTTCTGCTGTATTGTTTCTAAGGTAGGACAAGGAGAACTACCTGCATCTAGACGCAAACATGGCACTGCTTCATACAGCAGCATGATAAAGCTTTTGTACTTGTTCTCTATTTGCTTTCAAGCATTTCATCCACTGTTTCAAACACTATTCACCTGGTATTTTCATAGAATAGTCCACAGTAGTTCAAAGATCTTTATGTGTAGTAATGACCATCAAGAAATCATCACCAAATATGTATTAGTTAAGATTTTTCTTTACACACAATACTTTAACATCAGCCTTAATATGTGATTTTATTTCACGTTTGCTATAATGAGATCCTTCTGCAACCTGCTGCAGTCAGAAAGACTTAGAAAACTGCTAAGAGTTTTTGTTTTGACAAATTCTCTATTAGTCCCCTTCCCTCGATTAGTTTTTTAAAAATATGATGCACCCCACCAAAGGCCTCCCTCCATTAGGGGATGACTCATCACTTATTTTTATCTGTTCATCAGCTTTTCAAAATAGCTATTAAACCACAGGAGGACCTTTATTGTCTCAGAATATCATATGATAGGAAGAGTCCTTAGCAAAAAACATTTTCAAAATGCAGCTGATGATATACACAGACCACATCATTCTTACCCACATATTCATACACCTATAATTTCTAAGGT